AAAATGTTGCTATGGCCAGTGGATATCTAGGCTTCTTAACAGGTTAAATGTGCTTAGAGTTCCTAAATAGATTAAGTGAATACATAAAATGACATTGCAGAGTAGATGTTCGGATTAACAACACATCATAAATGTGCCAAAGATTAGATAGCAGGATAAGTTGTTTGCAGTCTACACCAGATGTGACAAATATAGATAGTAACCTGGATTCAAAGAAGTGTTCCTATGTACACTGACTATAAATATGTAACGAAAGTCTATTTTTTAATAACTTTTCTTCTCATTACTAAAATTATTGCAATAATATGTAATTCTTCTTACTTCAAGGTATGTCACTATTCACAGGATGGTATGTTTTAGGAATAAACATTTTAAGAATACTAAGATAGTAGCTATATTAGAGATAGTGTAGCTAGGATGTAGAAGAACTAAGAGATGAGAAATGAAATGGGTTTCTACTAAGTAGATTTGCGTTTTTAAGTTGAGACTTAATAGAGAGGTTAAAAAGTCAGACATTGGTTATCAACTCATAGATTTTTATATGCCTATTTATATTTGAATTATGACCTCAAACTCAGGTATATTTCCTCTATAAAATCAAATCAGTCTGAGCAGTAGGTAGAAGAACCAGAGATACCTGGCTTCACATCCCAGCTTCACCATTTTCTAACTGTGAAACCTGGGATAAATAACAACCTTAACAGATCTTACTGTAAAATGAAGTTAATAGTGTCCACCCAACAAGGAATGAATTTGATAGTATAATCAAAAATACTATAACTTACACATAGTTCCATTCCATAAATGTTGTCATAATGCCTTTTTTAAGCTTTATTAAGATGTAGTTGACATTCAAAAAATTGTGCATATTTAAAGTATACAGCTGGTAAGTTTTGACATCTGTGTGTATCTGTGAACCATCATCGCAATCAAGATAAATAACATGTCCATCACTCTCAAAAGTTTGCTTGTGCCCCACTCTCTTTTCTCCCTCCTGCCCCCCCATACTACCTCATCCCCAGGCAACCACTGACCTGCTTTCTGTTACTACAGGTAAGTTTGCATTTCTAGAATTTTATAGGAATGGAATCATACAGTACATAGTTACTATTAGGTTTTTTTTTTGATGGGGGGTGGTGACATTTTGACTTCTTTCCCTCAGTATAATTATTTGAGTTTCTTCATTGTTGTTGTGTGTATCAATAGTTCATTCTTTCTTAATGCTGAATAGTGTTACATTATATGGATATACTATGGTTTCTTTATTCGTTCACCCTTTGGTGGACATTTGGGTTGTTTTTGGTTTGGGCTTTTCTGTTCTATTTATCTATTTTTTTCTGTTTTGACACCAATAACACAATATCTTGACTACCAGAACTTTATAATAAGTCTTGAAGTCCCATAGTATAAGTCCTTCAACTTTATTCTTTTTGAACAGTGTTTTGACTATTTCTTTTTTTTTTTTTTTTAAAGATTTTATTTATTTGACAGAGAGAGACACAGCGAGAGAGGGAAAAGAAGCAGGAGGAGTGGGAGAGGGAGAAGCAGGCTTTCCACTGAACAGGGAGCCCGATGCGGGGCTCGATCCCAGGACCCCGGGATCATGACCTGAACGAAGGCAGATGCTTAACGACTGAGCCACCCAGGCGCCCCTGTTTTCACTATTTTAAGTCCTTTACATTTCCATATGAATTTTTAAAATCAGCTTGTCACTTTCTACCCCACAAAAGGCCTGATGTGATATTGATTGGGATTACCCTGAATCTGTATATCAATTTGAGGAGAATTGACATCTTAACAATATTAAATCTCCTAATCTGTGAACATAGTATTCTGTTTATTTAGGTCTTCTTTAATTATTCTCATCAGTGTTTTATGATTTTCAGTGTGCAGATCTTTTGTCCTATATATCACTAAGTACTTCCATGTTTCAGTGGTATTATAAATTATGTTATTGTAAATTTCAGTTTCCGATGACTATTTCTCATCTGTAGAAGTAAAATTGATTTTGGTACATTGATCTTATATTCTGAGACATTGATTAATTCACTTAAGTAGTTCTAGTAGCTCATAGATTTGATAGCATTTTCTATATACACAAATATATTGTCTGTGAATAAAGAGTTTTTTTATTCCTTTCCAATGTATATTCCTTTATTATTTTTTCTTGTTTTATTGCACTGGCAAGAACCTTCAGTATAATGTTGAATAGAAGTGGTGTACTGTTTAAGCTTTGGAATGTCTGAAAAGTATTTTGTCTTTCTTTTTGAAAGATTTTTGCTGGGTAACACAGTCTTGATTGATAGTTGTTTTTGCTCTTTCAGTAGTCTAAAGGTGTTGCTCCATGGTTTTCTAGCCTATAATATTTCTTTTTTTTTTTTTTTAAAGATTTTATTTATTTATTTGACAGAGAGAGACACAGTGAGAGAGGGAAAACAAGCAGGGGGGGTGGGAGAGCAAGAAGTAGGCTTCCCGTGGAGCAGGGAGCCTGATGCGGGGCTCGATCCCAGGACCCTGGGATCATGACCTGAGCTGAAGGCAGACGCTTAATGACTGAGCCACCCAGGTGCCCCTAGCTTATATTATTTCTAATGAGATATATCTCATCCTTACCTTTGTTCCTCTGTATGTAATGTGTCTTTTTTTCACTGACTGTTGTTAATATTTTCTCTTTATCTCTGGCTATGTTATTATAATGCACCTTTGTGTATTTTTTTCATGTTTCTTGTGCTTAGGAATTGTTGAAATTTTTTAATACCTAAGTTTATAGTTTTCAGAGAATCTGAAATTTTTCCCCTTATTTTTTCAATTACTTTTTCTATGCCCTCCTCCTCTTTGAGATCTCCAATTACATATATATTCTGCTACTTGTAGTTGTTCTATAGTTCACTGATGCTTTTTCTTTTATTTCCTTTTTTTTTTAATTTAATTTTGGAGAGTTTCTACTGTCTCCAAGTTCAGTAATCTTGTCTTCCGCAGATGTCTAATCTGCCATTAGTTCTATTAAGTAAATTTTCATCTCACACATAATAGTCTTCATCTCAATTTAGGTCTTTTGCTTTCTTTCATGTCTGAAATTAACATGTTCAAACTTTCTTACAGCTTCCTGAATATATAGACTATGGTAATAATAGCTATTTTAATGTCTTTTACTGCTAATTCTGTTTATTTATGTCATTTCTGGGTCTGTTTTTATTGATTTTTTTTCTCCTCATTTGCATCATTATTTTTTCCAGCTTCTTCGTATGCCTGGTAATTTTTTATTGAATGCCAGACATCGTGGATATTATGCTGTTGAAAATAAATTTTTTAAATTCCTAGAAATATTTTTGAACTTTGCTTTGGAATGAGGTTAAATTTCTTAGGAACTACTTAATTGTTTCATATCTTGCTTATGAACTTCCTTAGGTAGGATCAGAGCAGCATTTATTCTAGGTGTAATTTTTCCCTGTTACTGAGAAAAGGTCTTTTTTAGTATTCTGATCCCCTGATATGGCAAGGTTTTTCCAGTCTTGCTGGTGGAAAAAAGATATTATACCCAGTCTTGTGTGAGCACCAGGTGGTATTCTCTCATTCCTTTTGGCTTATTATTTTCCTAGCCTTGGATTGTTTCCTCACACACATGCACTAAAATATGAATCATTGTGCCCTTAAATTTTCCATAGCTAGTGTTAAGTACCAAGAGTTTCTTTGTTCGTTAACAAAGTATTATGTTGAGCTTAGAAGATAGATTTCTGCTAGCCCTTACTTGTTAGTTTCTTAAATATTTGTCCCATTAAGTGTGCGGAAATAATTATTTGCCATACTTGTGTGTTTCAAATGTTTATCCTTATGCAAGAAGCCAACCTGCATCTTTGGTTACCCTGATCTGGTGATTAGGTAGCATCTCCAGACCTTCCTGGGCAGCTGGAAGGGATACATTTGACTTTCCTGACTTAGCTGCCTCTGTTAGAAAATCCCAATTATGAAAGCTTTCAATTCCTGATTTTACACGTGAGTCTGTAGCCTCTTTACACATAAGTGCAAAAAAAACAAAACAAAACAAACAAAAAAAAACAACCCACACCAATTCCCAATTAAAGTACATTTTTGTAAATTTACCATCAGTTACCACTGATTGCTTCTCCTGTTGTGTTCATATTGTTTTAAATGTTATTGTTCCCATTAAAAGTAGATAAATATTTTTGCTGAGCAAAAAATGTTGCATTAGAGCATAACTATTTTAAATTAGATGTACTTTGGGAAATGCAAGCAAGTGACAGTGATTTCATAGGTCTTCAAATCTATGGATGCTCTTTTTTTTCATTATTAATTTTTAAGAATGGATTTTTTAGGAGTCAATCACTTGGCACCCAAACAGAAAAGGATCACAATTAAGCTATTTTTAAAAGGAGTTTGAAACCAACATTGTAATATATGGCTTTCTCTATACCCTGCCCATCAGCAGACCAGAACTCAGATGAGTTGGAGGAGATTGTGTAAATTCAAATGGAGCAAGAGGTACAGGAAGAGCTTTGGAGTCAGACATATAGATAACTTCAGCTCTTCTACTTTTTAGTGATGTAACTTCGGGCAAGTTTTTTAGCCCACTGAACGTACAATTTATCGTCTTTAAGTAAATATTATACCCCCTACCTCATAGCACTGATAATGAGGTTCAAATGACATAATGAATTAAGGTAGAGTAAATGCTCAGTAAATTGCCTTACCTCCTTTAAGTGTGTGAAGTTAGTTTCCTAGTGAAAAGCTTCCACACAAGTCAAACAGACAAACGAAAAAATCTCCTAATTTGGAAATGCATATATACCAAGTAAATGGCCATCACAGGGAGAAATTTGGACTATAATATTGTTACTTTAGATTTAAAAGACTTCACAGAGTGACTTTAGATCCTAGTGGGTTTTTTTAAGTGTTCTATTTGAGGGCAGTTCAAAGTAAGTTACTGATGTTCATTTTTACTCTTAATTAAAAAAATATGCCTTTTTTTTTTTTTAAATTAGGGGGAGTTTGTTGCTTGTCTCCTGTCCTTATTACGACAAATGACAGATAGACATTATCAACAACTTCTTGATAGTTTCAATACAAAGGAAGAATTAAGGGTAAGTGACTTTTTTTTTAAATTTCCTACGTCTTTCTAGCTTTCCTTGTTCTCATCATCATTGTTAAGATAGTTCCTTGACAGTTGTTTTACCTGTCTATGTTAAATTCTAAGCTGTTTTTTCTCACCTTCATCCACATGTCTGACTCTCTGTCTTGGCTCATTAAGATTTCAACTACTCAAGCAAAGCAATTAACTTTTATTTTGTACAAAGACATAGGATTTGAAATACCTGTCAGCAAAATCCAATAAACTAAAATAGAATCACAGACCTAATGAGACAAAAGCAAATAGACTAACTCTAGTTAGGTGGACTTAGAAATATTGCCTTTATAGAAGGTAAGGGTGAATATATAAATATATTAGCTGACTTCATCCCTCTAAAACCAAAATGAGGAGTTCTGGCTACAACGTTCTGACCCCAGAGAAGCAGAGTTGAATTTGATATTCTCTATCAGCTACAGTCTAATCAATATGCTGTGCTAGTGTGACAGGCTGACATTAAATAGAAAATATTGATGCCAGGTTTATAAAAATTCAATCTTTGCTGAGATTTAGGAAGCTTCAGTGCTTCCTTCATGGTGTTCACTAAAACCTTAGAAGTTGATTGTCCTCAGTTGGAGGAATGACCTGTCATCTCTTCTTATTTACTTTTACTTCTCTTTCATCTCTTGAGTTTTCCAGACACATTCATATGTAAACCATCATAATGGAAGGGGACTTACATGCCAGTGGTGGAGAATTACAGGACAGTAGGCATGGTCACGCTGCAACGTTTGTGTGACCAGAAGCCTTCACAGCACCTCAGGGGAAGACTTGTAGATTTTTTTTAATACAGATCATGGACAGGGATCACTTATCTTTGATCTGGAAGATGTTGCATGACCTCAGAAGCATCTTTCAGTTACTTTGGAGTGGCTGACAAGCTGAATCATGAAACAAAGAATAGTTTGGGCAGATATAATCTCTCTAGCAGAAAATTAGTTGGCATATATCCATGCCTAAAAATATGTTTTTCATGTTTACTTTCAATCCTGAGTTTAGAATTAAAAACAGATAAAAGGCCTTGGAAAATGCCCACTCTACACACAGAAATCCATGTGGCTAAAAAGGAAGATAATTGTGCAGTCATTAACTTTCTTCAGAAGTTGAATATGTAAAACAGTTAAGGAACTAGGTTTTATATAAGAGGTCTTTGACTTCATGTTTCAAAATTTCCCCATAGGAAAGGCTACTTATTTTTACAGAGCCTGGGAATAAAAAATAGCAGAGAAGCACACATTGAAAATCATGATTAATTTAATCTAGGTATTGAGTTTTATGCCTTATTATTCACATTAATAATAATAAAGCAAGTGGAAGTCATGAATAAAGTGTTTTATGTGGCCTTTCCTCATTTCAGTCAGCCACACACCTTTTCACAATTTCCCACTTCAAAATTAACTGGGCCTTTGGGCCAGGAAAATTATTGAATGCTATTAATTACTTCATCTATCCTTTAAGCAGTATCGATTGAGAAATTCAGGCAACTACTGGTTTTTGTTATGTGGCCAGGTACAAATTGTCCAGTCCCTGTAGGGGGAGAAGTCAGTCAAGTAATAGGCATTGACCCCACAGGTAGTGAACTCCCAGGGTAAGCACATGGTGCTTTGGAGCATCTGGGAATTGCTGCCAACCCAAACTCATGACATGAGAGAAAGTCCCCAAAGGGGTCTCAGCTGAGAACTAAGATGAGTAGGAGTGTGCTGGGCTTACCTTTGGCTAGGACATTCAGATCTCTCAGCTAAAATGATACCAGAATATGCTAACTGACAAAGCACTCTCTACACCACCTTTATAACAGTTATTCAAACCTGGAATGTTTTACTTTATTTGTTTTTGTGAGTCCCCAACCCCTAACTACTAGATTATAAGCTCCTTGGTGTGTGAAGCTTTGGCTGGTTCACTGCTGTATCCTCAGATCCCAGAACATGCTCACCACATTGTAGGCACTCAAGAAACATTTGTTGATTGTTTGATAGAATATGAGGAAGAGAGTTGTAAGACACAAGGCTCTCCGAATGTGTATGGATTTTATTTTGATGACACTTGGATTCTGTGGAGGGTTTTAGGAAAGAGGGGAGAGCCATGATCCCATTTGAGTTAAGAAAAACCTGTCTGGTTGCACTACTGAAAATGAATTAGCCGAGGTCAAACAGGAGGCAGAACCCTATAAAGGATCTGACGCAGTAGTCTGTGCTAGAAATGACTATGGCCTGAAAGTGAGATGATCATGATGGTAGATTCTAGGGACATTTAAGGAAGTTGAATTGGCAGGTCCTGGTGACTGAATTTATAAAAGAGGTGAAGTAGAAAGAAGAGTTGAAGTTGACTCCCAGGCTCTTTGACAACTGGCCAGATGTTGGTGCCATTCACTGCATGGGGAACCCAGGAGGTGTGGGTGTACAGGTTTGGGAGTAAACATAAATCCAGTTTCAGCTAGAGTTTGGTCACCCGAGGGACATCAAAATGGAGATGTCTTATAGACAGTGTCTGAAGTTGAGGAGAGAAAGCTGGGCTGCAGATGTAGATTTGGAAATTGTCATTTACATCAATGGGAGTAAATGGGAACATCCAAGGAGAGTGTAGAGTATGTAATTGAAGGGATCTGAATAGAAGCCAAGCATCAAGGAGCAATCGATATTGCTTAAAGGATAGATGAAGCATCAAGGAGTGTTGAACACTGCTTGCTACTGCAAGGAGGTGAAGTAAGATCCTCAAAGGGTCCTTTAATATTGTTGATGAACTCGATGAGCAATTTCAGTGCAGTGGTGAGAGCAGAAGCCACGCTGTCATGAATTGAGGAATGAAACAAAGAAAAAGATACAATAGATGTATAACATGTTCCAAGAAAAGGAGGATAAGGTGTCTACTGACGGAGAACTTTGGACATCATGGGAATATTTATAATGGAGGAGACTTAAGCATGTTCAAATGGTAACGATTCGAGCTGGTAGAGGAGAAGCTGAAGGTGTAAGGAAGAAGTGCAGAGGGTAGTAAGGTTCCCTGAGGTGGCAGCAGGAGGGGACAGAAGTAGCCTTGACTGGAGGAAGATCATTTTCCCAGTGTAAGAATGGAAGGGGAGTAACTGGGGGAAGGCAAGCTAAAGGTCACTTATTTTATTAAAAGCTAATTAGTCAGCTGGTTTTAATCTGTATTTTGAAAGTTCAGAGGTCACCTTTTAACAGATCCATTTTTCTTGTTCTCATTTTTCTTCAAAGCCAAATACCCCTGTTTATGCTACTGAAACCTACATTACAAGATCTTTCAAAGGTAGTAACACTGGTCCACAGTCCCTTATGCAAAGTCCTTACTAGCACGTGTATTTTAGAAATTAGAAGCTTTTGACATTTCAGGAAGATAATGTGGTGCACATACTGTGTATGATATAGGGCCTCCAGTAGGATTTGGGATAGCCACTCTAATTAAATATCTTAATATTTCTGCAGTCAAAAAAATATTCACTCTAAGTGGGATTAAATAAAAACTGAATAGCTCAGGTCAGGTTTTGCTGCCAAATGGATTATAAAACCAGAATTTTTAGACTACTTTGAGATTCTACTTTAGTAACAAGAAACTGAGGACCTCTAACAGCAAACACTTATATAAAACTTCGTACATGCAAGGTACTGTTCTAAAAGACTGATTCATATAACTCATTTAATCCTCAACCCCCTGAGGTAGGCACTATTATGATTTTATTACAAATGTCAATTATTTGATTCAACAGACATCTATTGAGCACCTTGGCTAGGCATTGGGGATATCAAGACTAATAAAACAATCTCTCTTAATGCTTTAATGTTATTAAGAGCATCTAAATCATTGTTATAAATGAGTGTGACGTATATAAACAACAGTGATGGCGGCTGACAGTTATAGATTACCTCCTCACCCCCACCCCCACTGTCATGGGCCATGCAGTGCTCAACAGTTTTCCTGCAGTGCCTCATTTTACTCCCCGCTAACCTCCCCCAAACTCTTTCCACCCCCACAAGGAAGTAATTGAGAGGGCCTGGAATTCTATTAACATCTGAGCTCTTTGCTCAGGCAGCTAAACTCAGCTTTTTCTTACACTTTAATGAAGTTTGTTCAACCAAAATCTTTGCCATCAAATCGCGTAAAATTTCATTTGTCAACTCTTTAAAAAGTAATAAGGCGGTTCCAGTCATGAAGTGGGGATAAAAGGCCAAATTAATGGAAGGAGAGTTATTTGGGTTTGTTTGTTTTTTTTTTGTATCTACCTTTAGGTTAGAAATGGAATATATAAGGGAACTGCATACAAGGAAAGGTATAGCTGAGTAAAGTGGTATTTAATGGAAAATTATAACTGATACTGGGATTAGACCTTAAAACTCCCATTTTACCTACTGGTTAAAAGTCATAAAGTATGTCCCCCTCCCCTCCACACACATGTATTCTATCCCCAGAGGTAGCTACTGGTGACACATAAGGTTGTCCTCACAGACTATTTTTTATGATATATACATACACATTTTTAATGGAATCCTACTATTCTTATTAGTTGCACTTTTTCACACAACAATATGTCATGAATATTGTAGAGATCACTGTATCATTTCTTCCTCCAAATTGCACTATATGGATGCTAATAATTTAATCATTCCCCTTTTGCTGGGCATTCAGGATGTTTCTGACTTTTGCCAAGAGAAAGGATACTTCAGGGAACATCATGACACACATGTCTCTATGGACTTGTGCCCTTATTGCTGTAGAATGAATTCCTGGAAGTCGAACTATTAGATCATGGGATATATGGATTTTAAATCTTCCTTGATACTGATGAATTATATGTTGAGATGTTCCAATTAATATTTTTGTTGTTCTTTATCCCTGGCACTGCTAAAAAAGCACTGCTTTTTTCTTTCTTCTTATCAGTTCAAAGAAAGATATGGCCAAGCATTTCACAGTGGTTCTCTAAATGAAATGAAAATGAAAACA